GGGATATATATTATTTAATATTACAAATAATTATTTTTCAAAAATTTTTGGTTCTGGTACAGTAGTAATGCCATGGCTGCCTCAATGCCCCCCTTCTGTTGGCCTCTGGTTCCATTCTTGTTCATCTTGGAAAACTCCTGTTCCCACTGGAGGGTTCAATCACCTCTGTTAGGAATATGTATTTGTCTTACAAAAATCTCTCGCTCTCTTGATTTTACTGTCAAGCTAATGACCCCCAATCGACCCCTTGATAATCATTCACCTCCTTCAAAATCTCATTGGCTCCCAAGTGGGCTATAGACTCCTGATGTAAATGGAACCCCTGATGTAGACTGACGAGATCAGAACACTAGTTTGCACTTCATTGTCAAAAGGTGTAAGAAATTTATTATTTTCCCTCTTGTCTACAAATGCATCAATACTGCAGAACAATACTAATGGCAATTGCCCTGCTTCAATAGATCACTTGGCTTTCAGGAGGAGTCCTGCCTGTAACTGGCTGGAAACATGCAAAAGTTAACGCTTCAGGAGGTTCCTCAAAATACAGAAAGGTTTAACGTTTGATTGATCATTTTGTCGCTCACTGAGAGAAGAGACTACGTAGATGAATGCAATGCCATATAAAATGCAACACTCGTGTGAAATAGCCCTAATGTGTGAGAGTGCACGCATTAACGACTCCTGCAAGAACTTCAACCCAGCAAGCATGTAATATACTCTCTGATTCAAGCCTGCCTCGTGTGGACGTAATCTTTGACCCTGTTGCCTAATCTCTTGAGGGAACACATTCTAAAAGTTAGCACGTACAGCAGAAACTGCTTCAAACCTTAATTATGCAAAGTATATATCTGTTCGCATGTATTTCAAGAGTCGGTTCTAAAGTGAATAAATGTTATTTAATTCTCCAATAGATGTGTTTAATGTGCAAATGATGCCGCAGACCAGATCCCATCATTCACCTATAGGGTCTAACTTAGCAGTAATTTATAATCTTATAATTTTCTTCTGATATTTTTCAACGATAACTGCTTGTATATTCCATGTCCCATGTTCTCTTTAAATTAGAAGCTGAAGTTCAATTTTTTTATTTGTTTGTCAGAACACCAGACACTTAAAACTGATTCAAGAATGATTATTTTTGTGTCATATTTAATTTTTTGAGAATATTTTCCTCTATAGCCCATTAATTTTTGAATGGATTTAGATCAGAAGACTTGCCTGGTCATTGGAGCACTTGAATATTGTTCATTTTGGAACAAAATTACAGATTTCTTTGTGTGACATGGTTTGAGGACCAATTGAAAGAAAAACACCTTGTTCTTTTCATCAAGTGGTATGTTTTTTTCTCTCCAATATTTTTATGTATTGATCAGTTTTTATCATAAGATTTAATTTAAGATAGTCCAACAATGTGTTGATTGAGTTCTCAACAGGAGTACTGCTTATCAACAGTCTTACCAAATAATAAAAACTTTATGATAATTCCCTCTGTTCGGATTAATTTGTGCTCTACTCTAGGCATTTTAGGCCTTTGACTTTTTTCTGAGAGTTCAGTTGGTTGATTGATGAATTAGTGATTTGTGAGGCGTCAACTGCTAAAGTCATTAGTCTTGCGAGTGTTGTGCATGCTTTTATTGCGGGAGATGGCGATGATCTTTCTTTGCTGGATGGGTAAATCCGTTAGCTTGCAGGGATTTTCCCAGACCAGGTATCTTCTCCCAGTGTAGCCTGGCACTGCACCAGCCATGACATGCTCTAAGCTTGCAAGTGTGGTAGTGTAGTGCAAGTAGAGTATAAGTAAGTGGAGAGAGTAGGACAAGGAAAAGGGAGGAATGATCTTCTATGGTCCATGACCTGTTTGTGAAGAAAACTACCAATCAGAGCTGCTTGCAACTAGTATTCTCATCCAGACAATGGCTGAATCTGACCTAACTCTCCAACTATTAGCCAAAATACTGCCATTGTTGGGACTCAAACCCTAGTACCTCCCAGTCATTGCAGTCCTCTGACATAAGTCGATGCCATGATCCACCTTTGCTGGTTTGAGAACTTGGCTCAACACTCTTTTCCCTGGAGGACTGAATTTAACATGTCCTTTCCCAAGGATATTTGCTGCAGCTCTGGAGGTTCCTCCTCCTCTTGGTTGTCTATTAGGATTTTTCTTCCCTAAGACTACACATATCATGTGTCTAAATATGAGTCCTGGCCTAAAAAAAGTCCATCAAGCATGTAAGTACATCGTTGTCAAATATTATGTAATATTCTTATGAAATACATATATTCAGTAAAGAAGATTAATTCCATATAAAAATCCAATTTACTTTCTTGTATTTCTAACAGTAGTAATTTACTACACAAGAGAATAAAATAAGGCACTATTCGTATGTGAAAAAGTTCGGTGCTGGAGATGAAAGCAGGGAAGATTAATTCATTCAAGAGTATAAATGTTTTACTCTGGTGGGGATTGCATCATTTGACCCATTACTACTGAGTAAATGAAACTAAGAAAGTTTATAACTTCCAAGAATGGCATGTATGCCCAAGCAGAACAAATCTATCATCGATTTAGAGATGGCAAAAGAAACAAACGACCCAATTTGATTTATAAACATACATATATTTTATTGGTTGTGAAAAGTATCTCGCCCATGGTTTAAAACTTTCTATTCAATACAAAAAAAAGTTATTTTTGTTCAAATTATCAATTTATGTAACTGTAATTATTAAAAAATTAAATATTTTTTTCTATTGTTATAGTGGATGCTCATCTGGTAAATTGACAATAATACTGAAACCGGATAGACGAATGGGAGATTTCAGAATTGCTCATGATGGAAATATTGTCACTTTGAAGTCTTCACCAGATGGCAAATATTTAGCTTCTGCTGGCAGTGACACTACTGTTCGTTTGTGGTTATGGCCACTATTAACTCCACATTTTGAAATTGTATTTGATTATCCAGCCAGGGTATGTGTCCTCCTAAAGTTTAAAGGAAATTCTTTCTGCAGAGATTGAGTAGAAAATTTGCACAGGCAATGGCATGGCATCCTTGGAAACCTTCCATTTTGGCAATTGGAGGCGGAATAAAACAAGGAACAATCACACTGTATAATGCAAATAACTGTACAAGAATTGCAACTAGTACACCTCATACAAAAGGCTTTGTCTTAAGTCTTGCATGGAGTTCCTGCACAGGAGAATTAGTGGCAAGCTACTGGATTAAAAAAGGCATGTACGGTTTTTTATATTGTTTGAATTTGTTTCAAAGGTTTTGCATGAAGTGATAAACAAATTCAACAAACAGAACACACAAGCTTTTACCCTTATTTTGTATTTACAAAATGAATCACTGTTATGAAGTGCATGCTACGCAAGCAATGCTATACCAGAACAATAGATTTTGGAAAAAAAATTTCATTAATAATTATTTTTATTAATGAAATTCTTCCAGATTTGCACTCGTCTAGGTCTGGATACACTGAGATTGTGGTGCTGTCAGATTTAAACAAAGTGGTAGACAAATTCATGTTGGGTTACCAAACTCAAGTGATGTATCTTTTGTGGAGTCCTGATGGGAAAAAAATAGGTAAATATTAATGATATAATGTCCATTTGCCTCAATAATCCTGAAGTTCAACAATATTCACATTGTTTGCATGTTTGTTTAATTATAATGTTTTCTTTCTTAATTCTTGAGACTAAAGTATTAGGATAAGTTGGGTTGCAAGAAGACTTGTAAGAGTTATTGAAGACACAAAAAATCTAATGATGTTAAGTTTCAGTGAGGAATATCAATAAAAACTAGCTGACCTTGTTTGAAAATTTCACACCTTTGAGGACATTAAGGATAATGAAATACTAAAACTTTTAAACCTATGTTTAAAACATTTAATTATCATTTAAGAATTGAATTTGGTTTTTTGATCAGGAGCAGCTTTATTGAAAGAACTGATTTGTATTTTAGCATATCATTTCAAATTCTCCCTCCCTGGCATGGGTGAGAAATCCAACAGGTCTCATGACCTCAACCTCCAAAAGAGCAAAGACCCCTGAAGTCAAAGATACTGTTAACAATATTCTTTTTATGTGCACAAATACAAATACAGAGTAGAGAATCTTTCTCTTAAATGAACTTGAAATAAAACATCTAAAAAATATCAATTTCAAATTTAGAAAATAGAAAAAGAAAACGGTCTCTCTGTAGGACATATGAATCTAGTTATAAGGCTCTAAAACACCTCATATTGAGAGTTATGCCCAAGAGAAGGATGCTGCAGTGTGTTGCTGGTTGCATTGGTGAGCTATACATTTTAGCTTTCAGCACTCCTTCTCCATAGAAACTTTAAATACGCCAAATCACACACTCCATGTGTGCAATCAGCTTAAGGAGGGTTATAAAGTTTTCTTTTCATATATTAATGTTTAGATTGTATATAAAACATTCATGAAAAATAGTGTTAGGCATCTAAAATGTTTCCATAAATTCAACTAGGAACAATACTGCTAAATGTTCTAACAAATATTAGATTGTGTTTATAAATTTTTTTAAATTGTATGGTTATGATGAAACTTCTTATTTCAGCCACTGCTAGTACCGATGAAACTCTAAGAATATGGAATTTCATACACTCTGAAGGAGATAAGGAGATAGCAGAAGCTCAAAAAAAGAAAAAGGTTTTACCTCTTAAGAGGTTTCCACAGTCCAAGGCATCTTTTGCCAAATATGTTGTTCGTTAATATTAATACAACATACTAATACATCTTAATTTATTTTTATTTTTTATAAAATATCAAATGAAATTTTATTTTTGAAGCTGTGTTGTTGACATTTACTTTTCTAGTCTTTTTCTAGTCTTATTGTTTTGATTGAAGAGAATGTAGTTGAAAAATCTGTATACAAGGTATATAATATTTAAATGTTAAAAATAATTATGTAAAATCAGACATTTTTCTCTTTTAATTTGTTGTATATTTAGTCTTGGTTTACGATTTCTTCTCCTTACCCTTTTGTTCAACAAAGTTTTCAAATTTATTCACAAAAAAAATAAATGAATATTTTCTTAATTGTGGGTGTAAGAATTTTTAAATGTGTTCATTATGAAACTCTTAAATGATGCAACAATTAATTAAATTGTGAGGGACATTAGAATCAAATGTTAATGTTACCAAAACCATAACTTTTGCTGTCTCGAACTCTGGAAATTGTTTTGTAGCTCAAATCCTCAGCAAAAGGCTTTCAGGAAAGATAATTGAATTGTAACTGATTACAAAGTAAAATTGCATGTTTAAAACATTAATTTCAAACTTTGCACATCAGTCTAATTATTAGAATCATGAGTTTTTTCCAATTCTTTCTTTTATGGAAATCTTATTTTAGGGTGTGAAGACACAAAATCAAAATACAATTATGTTTGGATAAGCTTAAAATAAATACATGTTAACATTTTAAAAAAATTAAATTGTTTACTAAATACAATTTATTTAATTATGGTGACCAAGGTTTAATGTTTAAAAACTAAGAGGTAATATAATGTTTAATGTAACACATTACCAATTAAATTTCCAAATTATGATTTTCATATTAATAACGTAGACATTCAATAAGATCTAAGTTTTGACCGTTTCTCTTCACATAGTTATGACATTAAAAGGATTTAAATTTTATACTAGACTCTTTAAAAAAATTAAAAAAAAGTGTTTTTCATCAATTCAGTGAAGAAACTTATACTGAGTAGTGTGCATGAAAGGGGAGAATATGTATGGGATGATTCTATTTTTAGCCTGATCTCTTTATATTGTTACAATATAAGTCTCAGAGATTAACCAGTTCTTCTTACTGGGTGGGCTGATGCCTGTTCACTACCAAAAACTAGAAATTTCTTCCCATTAGTCGGGTTAGAAGGGAACAAAAGATCATTGAGAAGTGGCCCCCTTTGGTACTGAATGGAAAATGTGCACAAGAGTAGCTAATAGAAAAGGAATGACGCTCCTTCTGGTGTTTTAGAATGAAAGCTGTCATGTAAGGGAAGAAACACTCGGACAGAAAGCTGAGTGAGTGGCCTCTGGAAGAATGTATGAACACACCTCCCTAGAGAAAAGAAACAACCCCAGTCTGTCCTCAATGACATGTTTGGTGGAATAGACATCCAAGAGGTTTAGATAGTAGAAGCAGGGGCATTCAGAAGGGGAGTATCTGGGTCAACTTGCCACAGGCAATGATTTAATTGGCCCCTTAAAATCACATTAAAATCCCCCCCTCATTGAAAGCAAAATAAAAATGTTAATTCACTCCTAATTCAAATTGTGTAAAGGTTATAAGTAATTTCTCTTGCAAAGAGAGAGAATTCTGTTTATGAATTAAGAAGAGGATGAACTTTTTCTTTTTTAAAAGAGGGCCTCTGAGGATCTTCTATCCCAGGTCTTTTGTTTTCTCTGGGCACCACTGAGCAGTCAATTCTGCTTGATTAGGTAATAGGCAAGCAGGGGGTGAAGAAATCGTAGCACTACTATTATACGTGTCTCGCTTGATATCTCTAGTTTGTCCAAGGAACATGGATTCGCTTAAGTTTGAGAAAAAAAATGTGTTTTGAACGGTTTTTCTTTGTGCTATTCTGTAAAATATACTTTGTATGTGACGTATTGTAAAAGAAAGGATCTTATAAACGAATAAATAAAAAATACATAAGTAATAGCAGCCAACTGGTATAATTAATTTGTCAAGCAGACTTAGGGTACTACAAAGAGTAAGTCATGTGGTTTGAAGTAGAAAATTCATTGGGATTCAGAATTTTGAATGTTAAGAGACAGAATAGAAAAGGATGAAATAAAAAAAACTGAAGAAACCTAGCATTGCAATTTAGAATATTTGGGAGACTGAAATTCTCAGCGGCAAACACAAGATTTATCTGAGTTTTTAAGTTCTATTTTAAATAGATCTTGAAATTGTTCTTCCTGCTTTGTATGAAACTCTCAACAAAAAGCAGATTCTAGAAACTTGTGCGATCTGGAACCTAAAAGCACTTGCTAAACTGTCTTTCACCAACATCACTCACATTAACAACCTTCCATGTAGTTGTAGTGCCCATAAGTTAAAAATTGAGGATTACAAGAACAAGCAAACTATTACACTTTTGACAATAGTTTACAAAGAAATGAAAGGTCCTATGCAAAGCAAAAAACAAAAACTGAGCATCAGTAATATTGATGGGCTTGACTCTAGATAGAAAAGGGAAAGAATAAAGATAAGTTTCAATATGCTGTCTCTTGCCACCATCATTCTTTCCTACTGCTTCTCTGGGGAAAATAGGACCTTGATGAGACTTCCATGTAATTTGATTATTTGCGATTCCTTTAATTTTCCTCCATGATTTTCCAGTGTCAAGAACAAATATTTTCATAAAGCAGCATGATTTGTTAACCAGCATTACAATGCTTGCTTAAAATTTTATTGATTTGTATGACTTTAATAAAAACACTCAGAGTGAAATTAATAATAGCGACCAACTGGTATATTTCAAATGACAAATAAGACTAAGGGCACTACAAAGAGTAAATCATATGATTAGAAGTAGAAAATTTATAGGAATTCAAAATTTTGAAAGTTGAGATGAACTAGAAAAGAATAAACATGTGATAAAAACTGAAAAAAACTTCACATTGCAATTTAGAATATTTAGGAGGCTGAAATTTTCAGTGACAATTTATTTCATTTAAGGTTTCAACCCTATTCGGGTATTTTTTAAAGGATGTCTTAAATCAAATAAATTGTTATAGAAAACACTTTGTTTTTATTCAGGTCATGAAAATCAATAAAATTAAGAATATAGCAGATGCTAATTATTTATTAAACTTGCATAAAATGTAATGATTTTGATTGGAGAGTGGCATAGGACTGAGCCCTTCAATTTTAGATTTTGCAATGTACAACTCTTAAAATCACTTAGTGAAACTGAAATGCACACGCATGTTTATTGTCAAACATATCAACAATATGGCCTCCATGACTGCCAATCTATGTACCTGAAAAGATGAGAAAATTACTTGGTCAGATAAGACTACTTTGAAGAGCTGATGTTATATCATGTTAAGTGACAAAGTGGTGCTAGATTTTGTTCTGCTGGTGAGTAGCATTAATATAGGTAAATTTACATACCAACAAAATGGTATTCAGTATGTAGAACAAACCTGAACCCATTAAAAGAAAAATTTACAGTATATCTATATAAAAAAAACTAAGACTAAAATTATCCTACATTGGTGTTTGGAACTACCTATAATAGAGAAATAGCAAGTTCCAATTCAAAAATGGAATGGGAATATAAATTCTTAGCAAGAACTGTGCAGTGAAAAATCCTGCATTAGAAGAGAAAAGATCAATAAAAAGAAGGGACATTGACAAATATATCAAATACAAAAGTATTGTCTTACAATTGAGGGTTTTCTTACAAGAACCAGACAAGTCCGCAATTCCATATTGTGAGATATGTAATGCAACTGGCGCTATGTGCTGGACATTTCCTTTCGGCAAGTGCCAAACACATTAAAAGATATAAGATGGGGAAAATCATAAATTCATATCTATGCATGTCTATGCTATGAAGTTTTTGGTGTCTCCTGAAAAATTTTGAATTGGGACGTTTGGGTCTTATAAGAAACATTTCAATTGTTTAAATGCCAAACAAATTGGGATAAAATAGAATACAACAAGGCATGTGCACTATTTTGAAGAAAACAAGAAATATAATATTAATTGTATATTTGTAAGTTGGGCGTTATTCAGCTATACAGCTCCAACAGTTCACATTTTATGTAAACAAATGATAGAAATGATAATATATAAGTTAAATACAATTACAAAGGAGATAATACAAACATAGATATAATTATAAGTATATTAAAAATTCGAAACATTATAATTGATAACCAGCAGGATAGTAAAGCTATAAGATAATATTTTAAAATACGAAACAAGTAATATCAATAGACCTGAAGAAAGATATATTATTACATAGCTCCATTATCATGGTTATTTCAATAAGGGGAGTTGATTTAAGTATGGGAATTGCTTTAAATAATTTTTGGCATTACGGAAAAAAATCCTTGTGATAAACAAATGTTGAATAAAATGGTCAAAGGTTAAGAGAATCCATAGGAGTCGCAACTATGTGATGGTGATATTTCTCAGATTGCTTTTATCAAATCTTTACAACTAATAGACTTACAATTGACCGTGCCATCTTGAATTTGCACACATTTCCAGAGAACTTAATAGCTTTATCAACTTTGAAAGGCATAGGAGAGATTGAATGCAATAATTATTAAAATCATCTGATAAGAAAGAGTTCAGTGGTAACATGAGGTTTTCTTGTGCTTTCTATGTTTATTAAAAGCCAATAGACTGTGTGCTAGAGCATAAAGTTTCTGCTTTTTTTAAGGCATTAAACAAAGCTTTGACATTGTGTTTCTGATATTTAAATTCATTGTTATACCATGTCTCTCTCAAGACAAAAGTGGAATGACTATTTTAAAGTAGAAGCTGATCTACAGAAATCAAATAATGCCTTCAAAATAATGAGATTTCTTAATAAATCTGAAAAAATTAATAAAATCTCACTTCTATAAGAATAATTAGTTGAGGAAAGTCACAGAACAAAAATCACTGGACTAGTGTTGCATAATCAGAATGAATTGTAGAACACCTTCAATTTATATTTTGTTTGATAATTGCTAAAGAAGTAGAAACTATAAAAGACAGTCTATAAATGAATTTAAAACAAGAAATGTCCTGGAATAAATGTTGTTTAATAATAAGCTAATAAAATATTTATCAGCTTTCTTTCAAAACAGACTTATAAACTTCAATGACATCTTCTGGATATCCAAATTTGTAGGAGAATGCTCAAAAAAAGTAATAATAATATGAATAAAACTAATATTGGAAAACAATATCACCAATGATTGGCAAACTTACCAAGGAATTAGTTCAGTGAATTTGAGATATATACTATGTACCTAAAATATTAACTTCAGTAAAAATTACTATTAAATTATTAGGCTTAATGCTACAAATGCTAATAACTGACAATCATGATGGTATCAGGATAGGAAAACCTGATTAAAGTACATTAGTCACAACTTTTCAAAAACCCAAAAGAAGACTAAAAACCTGGAGAATCAGGGTTCATGGAAATATAGACTGCTTTAATTTCCTTGAGGGAAGCTGGGATGACTTGCAAAGTATTGGAAATTAATAAAAATAAAATCAGGTAGTTGACACAGTTTAAAAAATTGTTGTTTTTTTTTAAATTCATCTTTTTGTGAGAGATTTACTCTACAATGTATAATTAATTAAATAAACTAAAAAAAAATATTCTGGATGACTCTATATTCAATTAACTTCCATACTACTGCAAACACTTAGCAAATTACAAAAAACTTGTTAATAAAAAGTCAACATTCACAAGTGAGTCATTTATGAGTGGAAGGGATGGAGGATCACTGATATTTTAAATGGAGTCGGTTTCACCTCAGATTCTCAAAAATAGATAACTTTGGTTTCAAATTTTTTTTGTGATTACTGACAGATGGTGAAATAACCATGAAGCAAAACTGTAAAGATATTTTCAATTGGATATAAAGCCATTGTCTTTCATAATATCTGAAATAAATGATGCAATATTAGTTCCTCAAATGTTTTTGGCATAGTTTGAGAACTTTCTTACAGTAATACAGTTCTGAACTAAACTAAGAGAATGAAAACACACTATTGGAGTAAAGCAAAACCTCAAGCAGCATCTCTTTCTTCATATTTTTTCTTTTCTTCTTTCTTCTTCTTCTTTTTTTCTTTTTTCCTTCTTTTTTGTTTCTTCTTCCCTTCTTTTTTCCTTCTTTCCTCTTCTTCTTTCTTTCTTCCTTCTCTCTTTTTCATTTTCTCGCCTACTACCTACTTCGTAGAAATAGAAAGTATTGAAATACTGAAGAGGAAAGTTGCGATTTCTCTCCTCGAATTTTGGGTCCCCGATATGGAAACATTTAGCGCTTATCGGAGGAATCAACACCGACATTGTCGCATTTTTGGAGTAGTTTCGTACACTTTTTGAATTTGTTGACGCATTTTGGATTTGTGGATTTCTGCGCGGGGTCGACAAAATTGGCCACCTTTCAAGAACATACTCGAAAGTTTCTTCGTTTTCTCTCACATTTAACCGTTAATTATACAGTAGGTTCATTTACAGAGCCAACGAGGTAATGATTATATAGCACAAGTGTTGACTGTTACAAGTTAGTAAAACGCTGATATTCATAAAATTTTATATCCCTAGGCAATGAGGTAATAATACATATTGATACTTTGTGCCGAAACCAATATTTGAATTCATCACTGAACATTTTTGAAATAACTTTACGTTCCAGACATCACTTCTATCAGGTATTTAACCTACTTGCGGAAATGAAATGTTTTATTACGTAAGGCTGCGGGGTTCTTTTCAAAATGTTGAGAAGGAGGTCCTCTGGGCACACGCCTGTGATCTGCAGTGCTGCTCAGAGAAGAAAAAGGCAATGGCCGCAAACACGGTACCGGGTGCAGCCGGTGCCGTCCCTACCAAAGAGCGCCTGACAATCTAAATCTGAACCACTGTGAATACCCTGTCATATTCTGAGAGGAAATGGGAGATAGATATCGCGAACAATGCAGAT